AGAGGCGAGGCCGTGTGGTAGAACATCCGCCTGCCACGCAAACGACCCGGGCAAAATCCTCACTCTAGCCAGGGTCCTATTTATTTTAATTGCATCTTTCTCGATTTTTCGGCCACGCATAAGACGATGATTTCTCGTTCAGAACCAACGACGCCAATGCCCCGAAATTTCTGCGAAACGAGCTCTTAGCTTTAACGCTACCACGTTAAAAAAAAAAGAAAGAATACAGCACATCACTTACTGCTTCGCATGAAACCGGCACCCACAAGACGTGGTGTGATCTGCCGAATCTTTTTTTTTTTTCCTTACAAGAGTGCGTCAATGTCATTGGCATTTCAGGCGACTTCAAATCAGCACTTCCTGAAAAGAGAGCTGGGTACAGGAGGATGATAGCACGACTTGACCAGACTTGACGTCCTGTAAGAAGCCAGGGATGAACCTGAGTAAACTCAATCTAAACAATCACGCCGCAAACAGAATTAAAGCTTTTATCAGGCACCCCAGCCTTTAGCCCCGGCTTCCTCCTTTGTATGAAAGGAAATAAATTTCACTTCACTTAACTTCTAAACCAGTTATTATTGTGAAGCATTTTATGAAACAGAATCATCGCGGGTTCAAATCCCGGCTGCGGCGGCTGCATTTCCGATGGAGGCGGAAATGTTGTAGGTCCGTGTGCTCAGATTTGGGTGCACGTTAAAGAACCCCAGGTGGTCGAAATTTCCGGAGCCCTCCACTACGGCGTCTCTCATAATCATATAGTGGTTTTGGGACGTTAAACCCCACATATCAATCATGAAACATAAACAGGGAGAAAAAAGTACACTATTCGGGGAAACATCTTCATTGACGTAACGCAGTACACTGCCTTACAAAACTGTAATATTCTCTAGAGGACTAACATTGGCAAACAAAACATTGTTCGGGGTGAGCGTATACCATATTTTTCCTTCAAATACCAGCAACTCCTCAAGCTGAAGAGCGTCCGCCATGGTGCATCAGTGGCTATATAGTTGCTCTGCTGCTGTCCCGAAAGTCACGGATTTAATCCCGGCCGCGGCGTTCCAATTTTCCATGGAAGCGACATCGTGGAGGCCCGTTTACTGTGCAATGTCAGTGCACACAAATAACCCACAGGTGGTCTAAATTTCCGGAGCCCTCCACTACGGCGTCTCCGATAATCATATCGCGGTTTTGGGACGTTAAAACCCCAGACATTAAATATAAAGCAGTTAACAAGCACGGACTAGTGTTCGCTATCCGGTATGATTAAGATCTAATAGATCAATGCAAGGGAACTACTGTGCGCTTACCGGACGCGCTCAAGTGCCGCCATCTTAGACTGATAACATTGCAGTTTTGTACCCGTATCAATAAACAAACCACACTATTCACGGTGAATTCGCAGGCAGGATAACACTTGGGCGGGTACATTCATGATTTGATATTACAACGTTGAAAACCGGCCAAGCAATCGCTTATCAGTTCAAGACGGCGGCGCCTGTGATTGATATGTGGGGTGTAAAGTCCCCGAACCCCCGTGATTATGAGAGACACCATGGTGGAGGGCTCCGGAAATTTCGACATCCTGGGGTTTTTTCAACATGCACCCAAATCTGAGCACACGGGCCTATAGGCCCGTGTGCTCAGGCCCGTGTGCTCAGATAGGCCCGTGTGCTCAGAGGAGGCGAAAATGCTGTATACAGCATTTTCGCCTCCATAGAAAACGCAGCCGTTGCAGCCGGGATTCTATCCCGCGACCTGCGGGTCATCAGCCGAGTACCTTAGCCACTAGACCACTACGGCGTCTATGAATCAATTATAAAAGCATCGTCCTCCCGGAAACTTCTGAACATTCATTCTTTCTTTCTTTCTTTCTTTCTTTCTTTCTTTCTTTCTTTCTTTCTTTCTTTCTTTCTTTCTTTCTTTCTTTCTTTCTTGGGTGTTCTTTTTTTTTTAATTGGTTCGACGGCCATGAATGCCCAACAGTAAGAAAAGAAACAACGGCTATCGGTGGAAAACTTGCTGGAAACATGGTAATAAGGGCTGCAGCGCGAGCACGAAGGTGCTAGAAGAAACGCGAAACGAAAGGCGAGGCAAGGAAAGCAAAGAGGACAACACGAGCCTGAATTCCAACCAACTAGCCCAAATAGCCGTTCTTCTTCAATTGCTGGAAACCTGGAAGCGGGAGCGTATAGGCAGAAAGTTTTTCAGGGGAGGAGGGCTGAGGGAGGACACGTTTTATTTATTTTTAGGGTGGGGGGCACCTTTCTTGAAATGGAAATTTTTCGCTCCGTACGCTATGGCGAAAAAAAAAAGAATGGGAGGGAGAGGGAGGGGGGAAGGCATTGTGTGACTCCATGGCTACGCCACTGCCTGCAACTAACGGAACAGTATAAGTGCGGCGGCGAAAACTTTGAAACGAGGCAATTCTTTCCCTGCCGATAAGATGCAGACAGCGTCAAGGAGCGCGGGGTAGTTTCGTGGCGGAAGCGTGATGTCGTGAAAAATGTGCGCGCCTGCCATAAGAGATAAGGTGATTTCGATAACGAGGAACAAAGTCCACCACAAGTCAACTGCGCAGCCCCCAACGCTCGGCGGCGGGTGCGGACCTGTACATCCGCGGACTCCTCAGACGCTTCACCGTGGGGCTTCGCCCTTCTTCTACGTTGTTCTTGTTAGCAACATACGTTGATGTAGCTGTCAGTGGCGTAAATCATGAAAGGGGGAGTGGGTTCTGACCCCTCGTATTCTGGCTGGGGGCGGTAACAGTTCCCTGGCGACGCCACTTGTGCCTATTCACGTCTGTTCGGAATCTGCATATAGCCGTCGTGGTAGTTTAGCTGTCGCGCTTCTAAGCTCGAGAACGCTGGTATCATTTCGTCTATATCGGTCGCATTCCAGGCAGGAGAGGGAGGACAAGGGGGATGGCAATAACACCTCTGTTATTAAATTAAATTTTGGCACCCATTAAAGAATGCCACGGGAATGATCATTTCGGAAATTAATCCGGAGTTCAGAGATTAGATAGATAGATAGATAGATAGATAGATAGATAGATAGATAGATAGATAGATAGATAGATAGATAGATAGATAGATAGATAGATAGATAGATAGATAGATAGATAGATAGATAGATAGATAGATAGATAGATAGATAGATAGATAGATAGATAGATAGATAGATAGATAGATAGATAGATAGATAGATAGATAGATAGATAGATAGATAGATAGATAGATAGATAGATAGATAGATAGATAGATAGATAGATAGATAGATAGATAGATAGATATTTGACTGATAGTTGATTGATTGCTCTATTGATTTCCAACGTACCAATGAATTAACCTGCGTGGCCTACTTGCTTTAAAAAAGTTTTAAATTTGTCGCAGGGCTTGGCACTGCGCTGTTACTTAACGTAAAAGTTATCATGAATTTATTTTTGTCTTTTTACTTACGTTTTATTTCCCTTTATCGGGGAAAAAATGCGTGCGCTTGAGCATCGCTAGAAGTAGCTCCGACAAAATTGAGGGAACATTTCGTTCTCTGACTGCGAGTCGCTACTTGTGAAATCACATATTAAAACAATGTTTTCGTTCAGAACATAAAACATATTATATTTGTAGTGTGACACCTGTGCAGATATTCAGTGCGAACTAAGCCAATGAATATGTAGAACAGGTTACGAAGACGCGATTCATTGACGTCAGGTATAGCACCATCGATATTCACTGAAAGGGCAAGTCCCTCAAATCAGCACCATACGTGGTCATTTCTTTACAGCGGTATCGCACGGGCGTATTTATTACGGTTAGAGCCAATCTGGATTGGGACCGCGATCAGCAATGGCTGCTGCTCCACGGCCCGAACTAACTTGTGTCAAGATTCATGCAGAAGTCTATCAGCGCGTTTCAGCGCTTGATCCGGATCGAACCTAATCTGGGTAGACCCTGATTGCGATCGGATTTGCACTTGCGTTGACATCGGTTTACTGTACACAGAACGGTGATCCCGACAATCCATCAGGACAAAGAGATGGTGATGATGATGTGCTACACATCTCTATTTTTCTTTCACAAAATAATTTTCTTTTACCTCTCTTTTTTCTCATAGAAAAATTCTGGATATTCTGGGTACTACACCGGAGAATGGGCGGCGCTTGTGAGGGGTAGTGGGGGGTATGTGGAGGCTGGAGCCCTCCTAGATTTTTCCCCTGCTCCTTCTAGGCCCCTAAGATTAAACATAGATAAAAGATAACGCATAATTTACCAGCCTTACTGCACCCCTACACGAACTCACTTGTCGTGAGTGCCCCCTACCCCATGAAAAAATCCTGGCGTACACCCTCGATAAGTGATTTTCCTTAGTGGGGGGTAGGGGGGGGAGGGATTTTCTGTCTAAATTTCTCGCTGCGAAGCGGGGAATGCAGGCATTGTGTTCCGGCTATGTTATATGTTGGATCTTGAGGGCGGGGAGCCGAAATGTCTTTTTTTTTTTCGGGGGGGGGGGGGTCAGTTTTGTATCGAAATAAGATATTGCTAGAAGTGATTGTGAATTTATCAAGAGCCCCGCGTTTACGTCGTTAACTAGGTGATAATTTTCCGGAACTAGTTATATTATCTTACGTTTTGTTGTTTACATACTACATGAGTTGATATGAAATCATTAAAAAAAAAACTTGGCGTGTGTGCGTGCTTTTGAATGTTGACAGAGGTTCTGTGTTTCAATGCTTGGATACAACAGCAATGCGTTTAGGTGGTCTTTTCAGGTGCTGGAGCTTTCATTCGTTTCTTAAATTGAAATTTTGACGAAGGCGACACACAGAAACAAAGATTCGAAATAGACGGCACGAGCGCTACGAAAGTTTCCTTTTGAACACTTCTCTCAGGCGCGCCAAATGAGCACCAGATCTGATTGGTCATTTCAAGGACAGCTGAAAAGAAGGGGCGTGGTGTGCTTTCGACAGCTTCCGTCTGATGGCGCCAGCGGCGAAAAAATATGTGCCCATGCTTGTGTGTTGCTCTGCCGCCCTGCCTACACCCCTCAAACCTCCGTAATGTATTCCTTGTGGTAAACAGCTGTACGCACTCCTAATAGATTCTATGCGTTTAGATAATCGCAGTCTGTCACGCGGAAGTCGTTCGAGATGCTGTGACGCAAAGTTAACGAACAGTGCGCAACGATTGGGAGAGGACCTTGACGAAGTGTTGCTGCCGATCGCTAGAAGCTTGGAATCGCCGGACATCCGTTAACTGGCGTAGCAAATACATGACGGACGTGCCGAAGTTGGAAATTGTGGGTTTAGTGCTCGACTAGAAGCATTATTTAGGACTCTTGTATCATGCGGTGCCGGCACATATGCGCGTGGCTTTGACAACACGCTCCGTGTCTATGAGTGAGGTAAGCTGGTGCTTTTATCTTTTTTATTCAGTCATCTCTTCCTACGTCAAATGCGAACGATAAAGTATGCATGCTGGGTTGATTAGGCTCACTCCTCATTGTTAATTGGCACGTGTTGTACTTCCTATAGTTGAGGAGGCGAGGCGGAGTCTGCGCGCGTGAGTCATGGATGACACAATTGATCGGCTCTCTTGGCCGAACTTCTCTTTCTCTCGAGTTCGCGACAGGACGGCGCAACAAGTGCGCTGCGCTGTGTGAAGTTTCGGCCAGGGCTATCGGCGAGTGTTCTTCAAGGCCCCCCGAAATGGTGCGTTAAGTGGAACAGAAGCTTGTCACGCTTGGTAATGTTAGGCCCTTCTTTTGTCCACTTGGGCGCTGTTACACAGCAGGCGTGCTACGGTTGTTACTCTGTGATTCATACCGGCTGCTTCGTTCTATATCAACATTACCGTTCTGACCGGCCCACGTGCATGACATGTCGCAGTTTCTCTCAGAAAGGCGACGCGCATTTCGATCGCACAGGTGTCCCGGCTAGCTGTTTGTTTCTTGTTACAGTGCTCAACGCGGTACGGGAAAGCCTGCCGCCGTGTCGCTTTGCGATGTACTGTGGCTTGGAAGATAAAAATCAGTTTCCATTTGCGCGCAAGTTTATTGTACGTTTGTGTTGTGACTGCACTGCTAAAGTTATATGTTTCGTTTTTATGGTATTAGTCGCGCACTAGACGTTAGACATTGTTCGCCGTAGTGAAGTTTATTTAACGAGAAAACTTGATTTGCAGCTTGGCATGACAGCCACCGAGACATGAACAATCCTCCCCCGATTTTTCCACGAAGGCCGCAACCACTTGCCTCAGGCACAGAACCAGGCCTTTCCCCTCCACTCTCGCTCGACACCAAAGTCCCATGTCGCTCACTCTCATTCAAAGCACCTAAGAAGGATATGGCATCGTCTGAGCCGCTGAGCTTGAAATACGTTCCTGACGGCTCTTTGGCCGCATCGGAAGTTGCCATGGAGCCACCTGTAGCACAGCCTTGCTTGTCTCACACCCAGGCGCCAATGGCACAACAATTCACAAACCCCATCTACCTGCTCATGGACGACAATATGCAAGCCACTGCGAGCATGGAACGAGCACCTCGAGGGAACCGCGCACCAGAGATCAGTGACACAGACTCCATAATGTTTCTTAAAAAGAACAGACCAAAGCTTCACAGGCAAAAGGGCGAGGAGGCTCCCAACTCACCACAGTTGCCACCCTCCCTTTTTCCTGACATTTATGAAGATGTACCTCAGGGTGTACTGGAAAAAAACCGGAAGTTGATTGCAGAACAGGAGGCTTGTAGACCAAGTGTTGTTGATTCTCTGCCAGAAGATACAAGTGCCAAAGATGAAAGCCCGAGAACACCACCGACGTCTTCACAGGGCTCTCCTCAGGAGTTTGGGGAGCCAGTGCGCGATGTGAGTGTGTTTTGGAAGCAGCCCCAACTGTCGATTTCAGGTGTTTTCTACGAGTTTCCTGTCCATCGATCTCCTCCAAGCAAGCAAGATCTGGTGTCACTAACCTATGACACACCTCCTAGCCTCAGGAAGCAAATCTCACTGAATGACAGCGAATACGAAAGCATGTCATTCAAAACACCTCCGTCATATGAAATTCCACCACCGCCACTCCCCGTCAGTTGTGACTCACCGACACTGAAGCAACGCGAATCCTCGGATGATGATGAGCCTAAATTCTCAGTTGCGGCATGCGCAGTACCAGAAGACTCTCTTTCACCTTCCACCTCGGCACCGATACTGTATGAAGTGCCCAAACCTTTCCCAAGGCCATGCATTTCGCCTCCCGGGAAAACTTTTGTTTTTCCAGGTCCACCATCTGAACTCTATGACATCCCACCGCAACGGGCAGCTTTTCCTTCACTCTCCGATTCACCCAAGAACTCTGAGTTCATGGATGCATTTGATGTTTTTCTGTCAGATGATACCGAATCGGAATACTTGCCATTGATAACTCCTCCACCATCCTACCCACCACCACCACCTCCCGAGCCGGAGCCTCCCGAAATACCCCCGAGGACTAACACTGCCATCGCATTACCTACAAGATGCTTGCCCCAACCACAGGTCCCAGTTCCAGCTGTCAGAACCTCACTCACAAAGCGGAACCAACTTGACCAGCAGCCAACATGCTCCACACCACTCTCAAACTCTGCAGATGAGGGAAAGGCGAGCCCTCGGACCAAAACAGCATCTACCTTTTATCGTGCTCTTCTGCCAAGCCAGTGCCCTGTTCCAGCTGCCTTCAAGGCTGAATTCGAACAAAGCCCAACACTATCTCTACGAAGCACTTCGTCAAATGCTCCTCAGAGTGCCCCAGACTCCCCGCAACTTGAAAACCGATTTGGGCACAGAGCGCTCGCTGATGCGAGTGATCGCTGTCCTTCCAGGCAAGATACATCTGCAACAAGCGATTCCTCTTCGCTGCAATCAGAAGACTGCTGGGCCGCAGACAAGCTGGACTTCTCTGGATATGTTTACAAAGCTGGAACAAATCGCAAAGGTATGATGTCGACTTGCTCAAGTGCTAAAGTGTTAAGCTACCATGTCATTGCTAATTTCAGAATGTAATTCGGTTGCTTGAATTTATGTCGTTTTCTTTAATGAAAGTAGTAGCAACTTCAAACATTTATTTACTCTTCATGCTTCGAGGAGTACAGTAAACAGTAAAATAGATGTAGATTCCTCTTTTATATTATTATTTGATGCAATATAGTGCTTCACTTTGGCAGATTGCTGTTACAAACTTTTTTATATATATTTTAAGTTGCTAGTGATACAGTCATGCTAGCATGTAATAAACACTGGTATTACACAAAGGGCATCCGCGCCTTCTCTGGATTGATTTGTATGCAGATACAGGCATCATATGAGCAACAATTGTCTCGTGCAGTGTTGTCATTTAATTTTCCCCAGCTTACTTTGAGAATTTCTTACAATGATCCCCGTGAAGTTGTTCCACCTAATTGTGTGCCAATGCAACATGGAATGTGCAGGTGTTTCCTTCTTATCGCTTCCTACAGGTCGTGGGATCAAATCTTAGCTGCAGCAGCCGCATTTTCGATGGAAGCTAAAATGGTTGAGGCCGGTGTAAGTTTAGATTTAGACGTGCATTAAAGAATCCCAGGTGGTTAAAATTATTGAGCCACTCCGCGATAGCGTCTTTTATCATGTCGTTATTAATCGTTAAACACCTAAAACTAGCCCCGCCGCGGTGGTCTAGTAGCTAAGGTACTCGGATGCTGACCCGCAGGTAACGAGATCGAATCACAGCTGCGGCGGTTGCATTTTCGATGAAGTGGAAACTGCTGTAGCCCCGTGTGCTTAGATTTGGGTGCACGTTAAAGACACTACGGTGTCTCTTATAACCATATGGTGGTTTTGGTACAGTGAAACCCTACATATCAATCAATCGAACCCCCCAAAACTATCTTGTTATCACTTGCAAACTTACGACCACTCAAATTTTTTTTTTTCCCGACTCACAATTTAAAACCAGTTGTTATTGCCTGATATTCCTTCCAAGGCATTTCACGATTGAACGCTTCTTTTTGACCCTTCGATAATCTATATTTTCTCGTGACATGCATCCCGAAAATGTGCATTTTTTATTGCTGAATTAAATTTTCAGACGAATGTCTTTCAGAAAAAATTCTCTAAAATTTTTTTGGGTTACCATAATGTGACAGAAATATTTTTGTTGTTACATACCCATGATTCATTCATGAGCAAGAGCAAGATCAAATGAAAAAAATTAAAAACCTGTATGACTGTTAGAATTGATTCGTTGAAGTAAGCATCTATATAGTTCACAAAGTACAAATATAAGCAATCGGCATTGTCTTGCTGCGCACACTCAAAATCCGAGTCTTATGTCAAAAGTAACTCCTCGTATGATAGGCTGACATTTACTGAATCAGATTCTAATTCCGCAGTTAAGCAGCGGTTGGGAAGAATCGTGACGGTACTCACATGTGGCACAGAAATCAATGTGCACCTCATAGCAAAAGCAAACTGCGCAAGTGAGCACACTGAAGAAAACTTGCGCCGTTGTGAGTGTGTCCGGAAAGCTAAAACAAATCCGAAAATTATACTAATTCTTTGTCCTGGCGCTCACAAAACAGATGTCGCAGAACGCCAGTTTTCGATACATGAAGCCCCATATACGCAAAGTGTAGTATTTGTGAGTCGCCAAAACAGGAGGCCCAACCACAGCAGCATCATTTGTGTCAGGCCCCGCCGCGGTGGTCTAGTGGCTAAGGTACTCGGCTGCTGACCCGCAAGGCGCGGGTTCGAATCCCGGCTGCGGCGGCTGCATTTCCGATGGAGGCGGAAATGTTGTAGGCCCGTGTGCTCAGATTTGGGTGCACGTTAAAGAACCCCAGGTGGTCTAAATTTCCGGAGCCCTCCACTACGGCGTCTCTCATAATCATATAGTGGTTTTGGGACGTTAAACCCCACATATCAATCAATCAATCATTTGTGTCAGTCAGTGCCTGTACGAAAACCGGTGTATTTGCATACCGGGGAAAAATAAACAGGAGAGTAACAAATTAGTCACTCTTAAATACCTTAAAATGAAAAATGATCAGTTTTGTGGGTGCAATACACAGGAACCATCCGAAGAACAAAACCAAAACTATCCCGCACACCACTGTAGTAAAGCATAAAAAAAGGAATTGAAGAGACATGCGCTAGGGAAAAAGTTCCATGCATTCATGCAGTGTGGCAGCACGTGCCAAGCGAGAGAAAGGATCGAAAAAGGCACGCATTTTAAACATACAGGCAATGGCATACATGTATGTCTTTGACCGTCTTCTGGCTGTCGGCGGATGATGTACGTGCACATCTTTGACCCTCAAAGAGTTAAGTTGGGTGTGCACTGTAATTACACGCCAGGTTATACACAAACTCGAGCAGGGTTTGATTATTGGCTAGTTTGTAATTCATTGTAAATTTGCATACAGCGAGTTCACGGCGCTTATCTTTGACATCCTTTCAGTCATTTCATCCTTGCCTGTGCTGTACGCAAGTTTATGTACACAAAATATTTTATAACTGTCTGTACAAATGAACATGTGAAAGGTAACAAAGATAACTACCAAACTTATTTTATTTGTGTACACAGAGCACGAATCAGATACGTATGATTTTATTAAATCCTTTAACCGTTTCTCTTTACACCAAATGATCAGCCAACCTCCCTAATATTCTGCATTGTTCAATTTTGTGTTGAAGGTACCCTGTAACACTTTTTGAGCATGGTTAAAAACACTGCCGACTGGTAGTGAAGCTCCCTAGAACACGATAGCCAAATATTGCGCAGGAGGCGGCTTTGCAATTCATAATAAATTATCAAAGTCAGCTAAAGCTTGCTTTCTCTTCTCTCGACAAATGATGAAAGAAGCTCGAAAATCACCCGTAGGGTGCTATCTATCAACCATTGGCTGATTTGAACATGGCGCGCTAGGTCATTTCTAGAATAACTGCAAGAGGCCGCAACTTGTCCACATGTGCGCACGCCGATCACACTAAAGAAGACACATATTAAAAAAAATGCTCAAGGTCAAGAGGTGCACGTGACATATTTTCTGTGCCCATGTCCTCCCTCCCTGCTTAGCTTCCAGCGCTTTCACAGTCCGAGAGAAAAGAAAATGTGATTGTAGCGTGCGACAAATCTTTGTAACTCTGCTTGTACTGGACAAATTTTCGAAGTTCTTGCGGCGTTGAATTCATGAGGCAATAAGCTCTCTTAATGAGTTCTTTCCATGCTTACTTGATAAAGTGCTTCAGGTCCCCTTTAAGGTTGATACGACTGTGCGCCCAAAGAAGTTGGTCTAAAGCCCAACACCCGTCATTCCATGCCTTTAGGTGTTGGACTATCTAGAATCTGCAGGTTTGACGTAAATGCTCAAAAAATGCAGGCTCCCTCTTGTGATTTTCTCTTTCACAGTCAGCTTTTTAAAATTTTATTTCATATAAGCTCTCAGCTATAATAAACAAACCTCACTCTTTGACATACTCACCACACTTATACACATCCCACGCGCTTATCAGTGGAGTTAATTCTTCTGTTACTTTTTTTTTTTTCAGGATTCCAGAAATGCTGGTGCACGTTAAATGATGGCTGTTGGAGCTACTATGCGTCAGAAAAGGTGTGATTTATGGCTCTCATCTCTCTGTCGTTGAGCATTAATCTGCCACTTAGTATGCGCCCTTTTTTTTTCTCTAGGACACCATTCCACTAGGTGCCTTGGCACCTCAGGACATTGGGGCCGTTTTTGCTGTAGCTGGAAATGAACCAAGGTAGTCTTTTCGATTTTCTTTTTTTTTTTTTCCACTGCAAATGTGTTTCAGCATTGTACTTTATTTATATTTCTTCCAGTTCATTCTCTAGGTGTAGAAGTATACTTCTGCAGCAATTATTGGTGTCACACATCATGCATGCTTGACGCAGTAATTTCATTTCTGTATTATTTATGAATTAGGGCTGCAAAGATCTTTATGAGTGTTGAATATGCCACACAGTACTGCTCTAATGATAGAGCTCTTGGGTTATCATTGGACACTTTTTAAACATCGTTGTTCAATTTTCAATTTTTTTTAAGCTAGGAATAAAGAAGTGTTTGTGAAAACTTCAATTTTGCAGTTCATAATGAAGATAACTGTGTGCCCTGTAACAATACAACAATGCAAATTGTTACAGGGCACAATGTAAAAGAATCAAGCATCCTATTGTGCCTCAAGTAATTAATGCACTAATAACATCTGCTGTTGTTCTTTTTTTTATTGTTGTGTAATGGCTATTTGTATTTTTTGCAGTTATAGTTCAGTTTCTTTTTTAAGCTAAGAATAAAAAAACACGACTCATTTATGAAAACTTGAAGTTTGCTGTGCATAATGAAGATAATAATGCTGTGCCCTGTAACAATTGATTGATTTGTGGGGTTTAACGTCCCAAAACCACCATATGATTATGAGAGACGCCGTAGTGGAGGGCTCCGGAAATTTCTACCACCTGGGGTTCTTTAACGTGCACCCAAATCTGAGTACATTTTGCCCTGTAACAATGCAAATAATACAGGGCACAGTGCAAAAGAATGAAGCATCCTATTGTGCCTCAAGTAATTAATGCACGTACAGCACTTGCTGTTTTTTTTCCTTATTGCGTACTGGCTACTCATGTTTTTTTCTGCAGTTATCGTTCTTTTTTTTAATAAGCTAATGATAAAGAAGCACAACTTATTTGTAGAAACTTGAATTTTATAGTGCATAATCTCGACCTGCTGAAGCTGTCTCTGTTGCCCCAAATGTGTAAAACAAATAATTTATAAGGGTGCTTCATTCACCTTACTTTTCACTCCAGCTTTTATTATGCAGGGGGTATGTGTGCGAGAATTCAATCTGTGAGTATTGCCATTGAAATCGGAAAGCCAGCCTTCAAGGGGCACTGACGCAAAAATTTTGCATCTTGCGTGGGATTTTTTCCCCCAGTAAGTAGCTTATAACCCACTTATCACGACTCTGGAAACTTTGTTTGAGCAAGTGCGCAATGATTATTCATTTATAAACGTTCTTAGAGCGCCCAGTCTCAGTTTCAAAAAGCATCGAGCTAGGCAGAAGCGGTTCCGAAGGCAAGGTAAACACAGCTGACCATGTGACCATGTCGCAGCACAGCGAGCACACAAGAAGCTGCAGAGACGGAGAAGGGAGTCGAAGGTAGTGCAAGTGCGAGGCGCATGCCCGCAACCAGCCAACATGAACTCGTGACGTAGGTTCATTTACATTGCTCCTGCATCAATGTCGGCGTCACGAGGGGCTCTGCTTCTTCCTCGGTCACGTGGCGTGCATTTTAAAATTTATTTCATATTTCTAGGCTATATTTGCCCCTGATATCTCGTAGATGTTGTGCGTGTCTCCACATAAATCTCTCTCGCCCATTATCTTGCCTGCGAAGTTTTGTGTCGGTGCTTTTTCTATCCTGCAGAATATGAGCCCCTTTATTAACACAGTGGCTAGAGGCAGATAAATACATCTTAATGTTTTGTAATACTGTCCAGTGCTTCCTCATGTCACTTAGTTTATGCCTGGATTAATATATACATTTTTTTTTCTTTCCTCCGTATTTGATGCCCTCTTAAATTTCACCCCTTTGCATCCAGCCCAGCCACGTCCACAGTGCCCAACCTGTGGTGCTTCGAGATACAAGCGCTACAGTCGCAAAACCGACCCCTGTTGCTGGGCGTGCCTACGCTGCCCGAGCGAAGGGAGTGGCTCGAGCGACTGGCACGCCTGGTAGCCCCGCAGACAAGCAACAGTCTCAGTGCACGCCAGTTGCACGGTGAGCCCAAGCATGCCGGCCGGCTGCACCTCAAAGAAGGCACCAGTGGCTTCTGGCAAACAGCGGGTGTAGTGCTTCGTGGGCGGTCTCTCGGCATAAACCTTCCAGGGAATGTGGAGCAGATTGACTTGCACAGGGTCATGTCTGTCGGTAAGTAAAGCCACACCTGTATTGATAACGATTGCATTAAAAAGGTTTTATCTGCTTATCCTGGCTTTCCTTGTAGCTTCTCAATCAAATAATATAGGGAACGAGAATTTCATTAATAAAATCGTATTGTTTAATTATCTCAAAGCTGCACAGTACGCAGTGAGCCCTTGGTAAACGAATTTTTCAGACATCTGAGAATGAAGTGGATCTATAAAAAAACCTGCACAATCGTCTCACAAAACTTCCCCCTTCATTAACTCATTTCTCAGCTTTATGCTACTTTGTAGTGAATGCATGTTTTTGTGTTTAGTTCTGAAGATTTTTGCAGAGCTGACTTGCCAGACTTTGATGTACATATACTGCTCTAGTGTGGGATTCTTTTATTGGCTTTCACCTTCCTGATGTTATTTCGTGTGAACGCAAAACTCGGTACAGTAGTGTCATTGTAGTTCGTGTATATATCAGAATGTGGCTGCGACTTGAACTTCCGTAGCGTCATGTTCAATGGCAGAATTCTCTAGTCACGAAGCCTTTGTGGCACCTTGTCCCATCGTATGTGTGGCCATGTGCTAGGCGCACCATTTTTTGTCTTTCTTCGTGATGTTCCACAGGCAAGATAACCGCTGACCAGACCTACTTGACTTATGGGGGAGCTCAGGAGCGAGGTCCTTCGTTCCAAGTGAGAATCCCTGGTAGGGTGCTCTACCTCCAGGCAGATCCATCCGAAGCACACAGAATCCTGGCTAGCGTCTGTCACTGCAGCATGGCAGACTCCTCCGGATGCACCATTATCCGAACAGTACATCACACAGGAGGGCGTCCCTGTTGCTGTGGACCGCTGCATCAACTTCATCAGCACACATGGTGGGTACAGCTTTTTTTTTTCCTTTTAAGGGTTTCTTGCATTAGTGTGCTGGTGCTGCCTTTGGCAGGTCACTTGCCATAGAAAGTTCTGCTTGCTTGTGTAATCAAATATGGGCCTGTTTTACTCTGCAGGTACCCTGTTGACTGGCATCTATCGGCTTGCTGGTTCAAGTGCAAAGATAAAGAAGTTAGTGGAACACATGCTGCAAAGTAAGTTGTTCACTGAACATAGTCTGATTTGCAGCCTTTCAAGTTCTATGGTTTGGGTGTGTGTTAATTTACTGAGGGGCTGGTTTTATACATGTCCGTGGTTGTAACATCTGCTTAGAACAGATGTTGCAAGTAACGCACGTGTTGTGTTCTCCCTTCTCGTTTGTGTCATTTTGCGCTAAATATTTTCTAATGTAACATCTGTGTTGTGTAAAAGTAAATGCAAGAGACATAAAGTTGTTAAATATTGATTCGTCATAAGAGTGGTCAAAGAATGGAATAGTGGGATCAAAACATTATTGAACTTCTATACCCCAGAGGGATACGCATGATTTTCAGTGTGAATTCAGATGCAATGACAATGGGAATACACCTAGTACTTGGTGACACAGCACAGCAGGTACCTTATTGCTCATCTGCCACAACAACATTCATGATATTCAGGCAAGGTGCGCTTAGAGGGACATGTTGTGTGGGGTGAGAGGGGGGGGGGGGGGCGTGGTGGAAGTGAGGATAACAAGTTAAAACGTGCAACGTCTATGTCAATAGTGACTGCTGTTCACTGTAAAAAAATAGGGTGGCTGACCTCTTTTGTTTATTTGCCATAATACTACTGAATAAAACAACTGAGCTCCATAGGTTACTAGAAGTAATGCAGGAAATGCACTTTAAAACATAGCACAGGTCTTGCACAACTATGCACGCTCCTTCGAGACGGAATGCTTAATAACCTATTTTGTCAAATGACACTGATCTCGTGCAGTTCACCCCATCGCCAATTTAATTATGTACCGAGCATGTGTGAGTGTCGGCATGATTTTTTCGGGGTTTATGTGTTGAAGCTATCTAGTACACTTAAACCTCGTTGTAACTAACCTGGTTATAGCAAAATATTGGGTATAACGAAGTAAATCAAAAATAGTATGGCAATAGCTATAGTGTTAAAAACAAACCCTTATAACAAATTTTAGGATATAACGAACTTATTTTTGTGCAAGATGCAACTTTGTTATAATGAGGTTTGAGTGTATAATGAAAATAGGACACATTCGTTGCATCCAGAATTTATGTGATCATTATCTTGTCTATGTTCAGACCCTTGGGACCTGCACCTGACTACTGAGGAATACTCTCCGCACGATGTTTCCAATGCATTAAAGCGCTACTTGAGGAGTTTCAAGGACTGCCTTCTGACAAGTTCTCTATTCAATAGCTGGATTCAGTCAAGCAGTAAGTTTGCCTGCCGCACATAGGGGATATTCTTCTTCGCAATTCTTCTTCTGCATTCTTCGCAAATCTATCCGCATCAGCTAGGTTCAGGTTGTAAGGTTTCTAAGAGCACAAGCAGCAATGTTTGATTCATGCATTTCTTGATAGCACTGCCTGCGTAATTGTCAGTGTTCAATAATATCACTGCAAGCCATATGAAACTGTTTCAGAATTTCCTGTCACAGCCAAGAAATATGACTGTCACATAAAGTGTGTTTCTCACATCACCTGTTGTAACGTAACATGCTATTCAGGCAGGAAACGGTCTCTAGTTTTCTTTTTACTTTTATGTTGCATCTCTGTTTTCATGCCAATAATTGGTTTAGTAAATGCCCAAACAAACAGTAATACTCTCTCAAATCTGGCTCCTGTTGTAAAGTCCTAATAGCAGACATTCCCCTCATATTAACAAACATTTGCCTCAAATTGTCACAAAGTTTGTAGGCTTCGTAAGTAACAACCTTCATTCGATTGCCTTACGACATCATCCAGCAAGAACTAAGAAAGGGAAGCCTGTGCACAGCAGGGTCTCTTTCTGAAGCATGTGCTATCAGAGCTCTAGTCGCGGGAATGACTGGACATTTTCAATTGGCCATTGGAAGGAGCCTCACAAAATACTTTCTCAGAAAGCTTCAAAGCCTTTGACTTGCCATGAAATGATTGCTCTTTAATATTTTGTTTGGTCTACAGAGTGCCAGAATCCAGCAGAAAGGAGGAAGATGGTCAAAAACCTGTTGAACGAGCTCCCCACAGTGAACTACTTACTCCTGAAAAAGTTGATCAGCCACCTCAAGAGGTCAGTAGAAGTTTTACTGTTCAGACGTCACAAAAGACAAGCGTCCAGTTCCTACTTGGATCGGTCTCGTAAACTTAGGGAATGTGTTCCACTAAGCTCAGGCGGGTCTCGACTGTTTACCTTCAGGTGTGCAATTACTTCAACAAGATTTTAATGCAATAACGTTAAAGAGCTCATTTCGCAGAAATTCAGGTGTCGACGTTGTTGGTTGTGAGCAAAAAATCATCATTTTTTGTGTCACCGAAAAATCGAGAATGATGCAAATGAAATAAATAAGAAACCCTGCAGCAGAGTGAAGACCGAACCAGGGTTGTTAGGACCCGAGTGGCGATCAAATCCGGGTCGTTTGCATGGCAAGCGGCTGTTCTACCACATGGCCACACCTCTGCTTGTGAAAACAGTGAAAAGAACTTCCTCTACTTGTAAATGCAGTGAAAGTAACTTTTATGCTTCACAAACACACGTGTCCTGTATAAATGCTTCACAATGCAACATGAAAATTGCAGTAATATGCGTGGTCAAGTGTTCATTGCGAACAGGCATCAGAATATGTAAATATCATAATGGCTCCGTGGTTGAAAGTGGGTACGCCACTACAAAAGGCACACACGCTACTGCACCTATTCCCTTACAGCCACATATTGGGTGCATAGCAAATTCGAAAAGGTTTCATGCACTAAGTGTTTGAAGTACGCACTACGAACAGGATGTCGCTATCGCGTTCAACTTCCTGAAGACAAAGCTTTGGGGTCCTCCCCCCTCCCCCCTTTTTTTTGCTTGGTTAACATTGAGCATGTTGATGCCTACCGGCAATGGCATTTCTGTCACTGTGCCAAGGTTGCTGTCTTCACGGATAACCATGAATGCATTAACCTATAGATACAAATGCATTGAGTACTAGCCGAAAAAGATCCTGTTAAGGTGGCTGAATTTTGTCCTCATAAACTCTAAGCCATTTTTTGCATCTCCACAGAAGCATATAGTGTACAGTTACTGCTCAAAATGAAGCATGTCGTTCTCTGGGAGTTTAAAATTTGCCCTGTTCTTTGAGTGGCCTGACACTGATGACTTTTGCGTGTCGAAGACAGCCGTTAGCCATGTTGAGATGTTGTCAGCCATCTGTACCAGGTTTCAAATGGCAGTGGTCGCATTGAGTAGAAGTCATTAACAAAACTAAAAAAGAAAACAGAAGACAGTGCAAAGCCACAGATCAAGGATAATGGAAAGAGCAGGCCAAGTGAGAACACCAAGGCAGAATTTTGAGTTGCGCAGTACGAGATATGAAAGCAGAGAAGAATATTTGACATGACATGTCTGCAGATAGGAGTATCACTTGTGCTGTATAAGCAAATCAAATAGTCTGTAAAACTATATCACCCACTATGGCAGTAAAGTTTTTTAAGGGCACTGTTGTCATCTGTAAAGCTTTTAAGTAAAGTTAAGCACAGGACCTAGTACACATATGTGTAATTCATTGCTACAGTAAAAGCTTGTGAATTCGACACCCGTGTATTTGGAAAGTTGCATTAATCTGCACATGTTATCTGCTCCCAGCTAGTGCTGTAGAACCTGGTTGATACTTTTTCGCCTAATACAATTTCCCAGCTCCTATGCTCAAATCACAAAAACTGAAAATGCCCCCATAGAGCTATATGTTAATATGCCCCGCTTAATACATTCCCAGAAAATATGTTTGGCATTGCAGTGAACTCCGGTCATTTGATACGTTTCGCGGGCAAAACTCATTCAGGTGTGCAATAAAATCGCTCTCGCATGCTTGTGAAATGCCGAGTGACAGACTGTCGCTCTGAGAAGATGGCAGTTTTTTTGCTGCGCTCAAATGTCATCCTCCCATCCCCCGCGTCTTCTCTAAATCATGCTCAATCCTCCCCTTCGTGCTTTCTTCGAATGGCCTGGTCGCCCTGTTACACTGTCGCAGCTGGTGAACCACACACAGACTCACCTGAGCCGTTTGAGCTGTCAGTCGTCAAACGGTTTTCAAAAAATGCCTTTTTATTTTCTTTAGCACAGTGGTTTTATTTCTCAGCTGGCACTTTGGCATGATTTCACTCAGCACTGCAAAGCCTTCACCCGTAGCACGGTACGTGAAAATTCGATCGTCCCACACTACAACAGCCGAGATAACACTGGGGAGCTAACAATGTGGCACGAAGAATGGATTCACTGTCGATCACCTCCACTTAGTTCGTCACGCTTTGGCACTAGACGCACATGCTGTCTCCACTACACAACGCACCATGAAGTGGTAGCAGCGTCTTAAATCACTATAGATTTCTCACTTTGGCTACATCTGCTTCCTCTCCTGACCCCGTTTCACGCACAGACGGCGTCTGCTACCATGTTCTTCCTTTAGAAGATTTACAAAGCCTCACACTTAAGTATGTTAGGCACGCATGTTTCAGCGGGAAAGATGCAAGCAAAGCGCTTATCTCCCCCCCAACTCTGGTAATCCCCCTGTCAATAGGGGAGGGGGGGGGGGGGGATGGGTGCCCTGCTGTGTTATTAGGGTGTCTACAGCTATGCAGGGTAGCCTTCACTGAAAACGAGTGCGACCCATTGACAAAGAGAGTCGAGGCCTCAGTGATTGCTGCTACTTCAAGGAGAAAAAAAAATTAAAGATATGTTAGTTGGGGCCTGTGCAAAGCTGTACATTGCTATGTTTCTCAGTAGTTCACAATTTGAGACAGTTGCATCGCCAGGGTTTCGGGAAAGTGCAAGCCCTTGTCTATTAATGAAAAGCTGAATATCCTTCGGCGGCAGCTTGCATCGGAGAATATGGAGCGCAGCGAAGACGACCCTGTGGCATGCGCGTCTGACATCGACGATGACATCGATGAGGAATTCCTCTCCACTGGTGCTGATGCACCCTCTGCCGAGTTCGTCTCGATAGACAACAACGTCCTGACTTGCGAGCCGCAAAGTGTCGCCGAAATTCTCGTGGAGGTGATGGGGGGCGACGCAGCAAAGGAGGGGGGGGGGGGGGGGGGGGGGGACGAGGCACCAAAAGGGCTAGCTTAACCGAAGCCCTTGCTGGACTGGAATCTCTACAAAGCATCTTTCGAATGAAAAACAATGAAAAGGTGGACAAGGGTCTACAGTGTGTGTAGAAAGAATGTTTCTTGTCCAAGGGTGAGAGGCAGCAGCAGAAAATTACTGGTTTTTAAAAATAAATGTTTTTTTAGCCCTTACACCTCAATATAAAATTCTCAGCCTCAATTTTTGCTGGATTCAGATCGTATGTTTTCCTGCATTGTACATTTATTTTTTGTATTTTTTAAACGCTCAATGAGGTTCTAACTGTATGTATTGTTCAATGGCATCAAACTCTCATTAATTCGGACATATTCGGCCAAAACCTGACTAATGCGGACAATTCTCAAAGCGTGCCAAGCGCAAATCACCACAACTGTGCGACGTAAAGTAGCAAAACGGCATTTGCAGACAACCAAACCAAGGTCGCACGTCTGCGTTGCCATCACCAGCAATGCAAACTGTATGGTAATGATATTTGGCTAATACAGGGAGGTCTTGATCTTCCATCACGCTGTGAACTGTCACGAGTGGTGACAATGACGCCTTTTACACTGCTCCTATGTAAATTAAGCATGGGATTTACATAGTATTCATCGATAAAATGAAAGTGCATTCACGTAATAAACATCTGTTTATTGTTTTATAGATACTTCTTGATAATTCAAAATTCGGTGAATTTGGACATTTTTTTTTTCAGATTTGTGAAATATGAATTCTGATTTACTGTATTGAATTGTCATGAAAGTAGATACTGGTACATTACCTGCTTTTAGAGTCTTGTAGTATATTTACATTTTGGTTAGTGCATAGTTATCCCGGTCATTACTGGCTGGTGTGTATTAAAGAAAATTTACTCCAGTGCATAGCTTTTTGAAATGACGGTATTCAACTTTTCGCTCGGGTTCAAGATCGCAATAGCAGCAACTCATGTTACTTCCCAAGAAACTTCTGGTCACTTCAGTTATTACTCTAAAGGCACCACTGCATGCACGCGATTTTCGAGAGACTACAACAAGCTTGCTTCATCGCGACTACGACAAGCTTGCTCCATCGCGACAGCTGCAACCACATGTCGGCGACAAAGTGTCATTGTTGCTAGATTCAAAACTATCACATGCATGCCCGTAAATTGTAAGAAGTTTAAAAGTAGGTCGATGACAACATGCTAAGTTTATTACTGTCTCGTAGGGTAGCAAACTGGACTTAGTCTAGTTAATCCTCTACCTTTCTAATATTTTTTCTTCTCTCTCTCTCTATTACAGTCGAACCTCGATATATCGAACGGTGCGGCAATCGCGAAATAGTTCGATATATCCAGAATTCGATATAAAAAATCACGAAAAAAATTAGTCAACAGCTTGCTGAAAACGACCAATGAACCGTTCAAGCGTGGTGCAGTAAATACTCACTTGAAGATTCAAACACAGTATTTATTGTGTTGGTTTAAAATATTGAAAAAGAGTAGCCTGCTTTTTGTTGGGCATGGCGTGTTTGACGACTGCGTCCTCAATATAGTCCAGGCAATCCATAAGTGGTAGGCCGGTGCCTTCAATCACGCCGCAGTGGCGGCGCACAAGGGCCAAGGAAGTTACGACCTCAGCTGATGTCGGGAGCGGGGCACCATCAGCGCTTGCGGGATCCACCTTGGAAGAGTCTTCATTTGGCTGCTCAGCAGTAGCTTCGGCGACAATCTCCACATCCGTGAGCTCTGCCGTTGTGAGCTCCGTCGTTCGGAGTTAGGCCTGTCGCGCACCACAGCGCGCGACAGGCCCAACTCCGAATGCACTAACACTGCGAGCACAACGACCGATGCCTGCCGATGCTACGCGAGAGGAGCTTGCAACAAGTGCGCAGTGTGCCGTTAACACCATAGAGACTGCAACGACTGCAAGCTGCAAGGCTGCGGCGTGAGTCCGGGTGTAAAGCGCGCACATGGCGCGCCCATGCCGGCTCGCCTGACTGCTTTTCCTTTCCCGGCGGTGTTGGTCCGAGACAGTCGTCTGTGTCCTTTCTCTCCTATACTTTCCTCCTCAATCTTTACCTCCCACCACTTCCCCCGCGCGAAGCCGTGTCGGTGCCTTCGTATTGAAAGAAAATAACAGCTCCACGCTTTTCTCTTCACTTTCCTCATTCAAGAACCTCTACCGCAAGCCTGCGGCGCACGTACGCCGCTAGGTTAAAGTGGCGCTCTTGGCGCCATCGATGTGTGGAGCATTCGTAAACGCCCGCCGCTCTACCGCTACTTTCGAGAGTTGCGGGAAAGCTCGCCGCCTGTCAATGGAGCGCGGGCGGTTTGGGGTGGCTAAGTTCGATATATCCATTATATGTCAAACTTCGAAATAAAAAATCATTAATGCATGCGATTTCCCGCGTGATATAGGAACCGTTCGATATAGGCAATAATTCGATATATCCGTGTTTGATATATTGAGGTTTGACTGTACTGTGTTGTGTGGCATAAGGAAGCCACAAAAATGCTTCGCTACCTGTTTTTTTTTTCTCACAAGTGTGCCCAGATGCGCACGCTACGACGGCTATGATGCACTTCGCATGAGGATTTCACTTTGCAGCAAGCTATCATAATTGTCACAAGCTAGCATGGAAACATCAAAACAAACCATGGATAACAAATTTACGTCAAAAGACAACCGCTGTCTCACTTTTCACGTGAGATGCAAATGCAAAAAAAGGTGGTCGATACTGTGCATTCCTTAAAGTATGTGCTGATACCAAGCATCGAGAGCAAATCAAAACCACAGCGAGGATGAGGGGTGTAGTCATGTTGCCTGAAATTGTCACGCTGGCTTCTGGGGCGACAACAATCTTTTCTATTTTTTTCAGAAGTTTTCGACGCGACAAGTGATGGCGAAGGATGAGCCTCCGTGACATCAAATTCTGTTGTTGAAAATCGAGTGCATGCACTTAAACCTTAACACAAGCAGAAAGTTTTTTAAGTTGTGCTAAAGTAAATAAAGATGTTTCCCGCTTTCACGTAAAAGAAAGACATTTGAAGTTGAGAACCAACTCGTATAACGTTGTGTGTACTAGAAGAAAACATAATTGAAATAATTGGCCAGTCACAGGCAGACAAGTGCTGAAAATGAGTGGGCTACACGCTAAGGCTCTCATTTTCCGCCAATGCTATTAGGCTGCGCCGGTGCACATAACCAGAAGCCATTGTAAACAGACCAGAAGTGTATAACCAGAAGCACATAACCAGAAGCATCTTTGTTAACAGTGAAATCGATATATGTCTGCTTAGGTCCCATAGCTGGGTGAGTTTCTAGCATGTATTTTCGTTTGCTGCCACTTTTTGTAGACTGATTTTTAGGTTATAACCAGCATATTTTTTTATAAGAATCAAGTTGGCATGATATTTTGCATATGACAATTTCAGTAGACATTACTGTGGATTTACTTGCAAAATTTGCATTTACCATTTCTTTGAATCCTAGTGTAAAAAAAGTGCGGAAATTATGTATGTGGGTACATACGTTAGCATGTCGTGCCAGTCACATCTATCATTATTCTTGCTGCATTTAAACGTGTACCTTGAATCAACTTTTTGGCTTCATTTACATGTACATTATAGGTGAATCATTAGCTAGTGCTGAGCAGTGCTTATCATGAACTGAGAATACTGTGGTAATTTGCCACATTTCTTCTGGAAAACTTCTTTTTCTAGCAAATTTGGCAGTGAGATTGTATGAAGTTAAGCTACTTTCTTAACTCATTCCAGCATCAGCGATCACAGTGACAAAAATTTCATGCCAGTACTCAACCTGGCCCCAGTGTTTGGGCCATCAGTGCTTTACAAGATAGTTGAAGACGTTGAAAACGAGACACCAGCCAACTCTAGCTTTGAGGAGAACAATGCTTCTATGGACGTTGTTGCCGACCTAATTTCCGGCTACACCTGGTTCTTTGAGGTACAGTTATACTCCTTTATATTTTAACCCTTTGCTATATACAGGCTAGAATATGTGTGATTGAGGTTCAACGAAGCTTCTCTCTGCCAGTCACGGGAGCATGCATCAATTCATCAGGTTGAATTCTAGTTCACGCAGTTTGAAAAAACTGTTGCCATTCTGGCTTTCTTTTTATTGTGGCTCTTATGTGCAAGCATAGGCATATCGCATGTATGCTTGAATAAGCGTGTTGTTGACACATATCCGGATTGGGTGCATGAGCCCTGTCAACAAATCATGCAGCAGATATTTACTTTTTGTTCATTCCTGTGGCGTCTTATTACAGTTGGCACTCTACATGTTCTGGTCTCTGTAGCTCTTCTCTTCTTCTATTATTACTTCCTACTCCCCACCCTAAAGGCGCTGAGCCGTGTCGCCACAACGAGGGACAGAAAATAGCATCCGTCTTACTTCTTCCTCTTTCATTGACCTCTCTCTCTCTCCCCCTCTGTGGTATGTACTATACCAGATAAAACACTAGAGGCACAGTATCACAGTATAAATTTGGGAAGATACGTATATGACATCTCTACCTGCCTAATTGCATGAATATTAAGTAGTTTGGTAATTAGGGCTTTTCTACAATTTCGTCAATATTTTGTGATAGATAAAATTCATTTGCAAGCCGTTTTTATTCATCTGCATACAATCATTGGATCTGTAAGGTTTCCGAGTGGTGTTAGTTAACTGCAATTTTCGGTCCTTGTAGTGAGTAATTCACGCATGCGTATGGGTAAACGATCAGAGGATACTGAGTGGTCATTCAACGAGGCATATGACACTGTGCTCATACTTAAATCTGACTGTCTTGTGTATGTTGAAGTCATCTTTACTTTCTAGGTGGATCCTGCCGAGATGGAGAAAGAGAAACGAATTCAGGCAGCCATGGATCTTCTTAGAGAAGCTAAAATCGCTCAGGTATGTTAATGTTGTTCTTTTCTCATTTATCTCTCTCTTATATTGAGTCATAATTTTTCGAACAACTTTCAAGCAACTTGTTATTCTTTCTTTCTTACTCAGAGACCAGCGGGCGACATTCTAGTCGGTGTGTACGTCTACAGCAAAGACTGGGGTCATTGCATCAATGTCAAGGTGAGTGTGCGCGTGTTGTGCTTATGCTATAACTATAGTATTTAGCACCCGAGAGAGAACGCACCAGTGCTAATTATGTTTATCTTTCACTCACTATCTTTCAGCTCTCTCCAGCCATGACAGCAGGTGCATTGTGCAAACACACCATGCAGCAGTTGAATATAAAGGAGCCCATTAATAAAATGGCTGTTTTTGAAGTTGTCTGTGATCAAGATCTGGGTTAGTAGACAAGTTTAATCCACTCTTGAATAGCAACACCACAAAATATCTCCTGGTTTCTGTTGCTAACATACACCCACTCTGGTAGTGTAGTATTTTTCATTTTGCTTTGCCTGTCTTAGTCTAGTTCAGCCACCATTTTCATGCTGGGCGTGTTAGTGGGGCTACTGTTCCTTGTGTTATAAAACACACCACATTGTCTTGGCGGTAGATCGTGGGTTCCATTCCTAGCTATGGGAATTGAATTTCGCTTGGTACTGGTTTGCAAAAATGCTTGTGTACCTAGCAATGGAACACAGGGCTTCTGTGCCACTGCCTGGTAATTCTTTTTAGTTTTGTTTCACTTAACCATCTGATACGAAGTACGAAGCAACCTGTAACTGTAAGCAACCTGCACATTTGGTTGCAAACAACCTGCACATTTTCATAAGCCCTTAATGCTTACATACATAAAACCTTCCACTGTGTGATTTATCGAGCCCATGTGTTGTTTTGAGGCAATAAATTCACAAAAAACTGTATGTGTTGAGATCACTAATGTATACATTATGAGCACTAATTTGTTGTAATACCAGGTCACTTATTTTGCCACACAGCACTGTTTGTGTGAAAAAGTAATGATTAAAATGCCCGCAATACAATACCTACATTGCCCTCGCATCGTCTTTCCACGATTATGAATATTTCCCTCATTCATAGTATTGCTTGGTTTTTCCAGAACGACCTTTGCATCATAGCGAGCCCGTCCTTTCAGTCGTCGTTCGCTGGGCCAACTGGGATGCATCGTTCGCAAAGTCCAATTACCTTTGCATCAAGAACAACTATGTCTATGACGAAATAGCACCCCTCGTATCGGTAAGCACTGCACACTATCCGCTGTGTGTAATTACATTTTATAAGGTGGTCTTGCTTTAACGGCAGTGCTGGCTTCATTGCGTTTCAGAATCGTCAGCCACTGTCTGTGTTCAGCGAGCTTCGCTATGCCGAGGCCCGTCAGAAGAGCTTCAAGAAATCTGTGCTTGAGTTTACAGGTGGCAAGATAACGCAGTACAAAGATTCAAAGGTTGGTGCTTCGCTATCTTTATGGTGCTTGTGTGGGCAGTTTCTGCAGATTGTGGCCCCCACTGTGTGTTTGCATTGGCCCCTCTGATAAGCTGCTCTGTTTGCTCTGATAAGCAGGGGCCTGTTTGTTGCTAATGGTCTATGCACATTAATGATGCTTGTGCAAGATGATAAAAATGCATTGTATGTGTGATCGGCCTCAGCATGCTTTGGGCCAATTTTCCCATATGCTATGCATATGACTGGTGGCTTATGTTCTACTGAAGCAAGCAGCCTCGCCTCTCATAACTGCCTGCAGTAACTGCAAATTAGGTACAGTAAAAGCTTGCTAATTCAAACTCGAAGGGCACCGTGAAACTGCCCGAATTGAGCAGAGCTTGAATTGGCAGGCGGGCGCTAGAATGAACGGACATAGCCCCACACTACGCAGGGCAGAACCCAAAGAAGCCAACTCTAGACTCGCTATCACGAATTAGGCGATACTACACATTTGTGGCTGGTGATTTCGTAAATTAATTCATGAAGCTGTAACTTCAAACAAAATTAATTGATCAGTGAGTTATATGCCAAAATTATGTGCCAACATGCATTCATGTGAGAAGTGAGCCTTAATGTCGAAATATATGGAAAACTATTTAGTTTATTCTCCAAAAACATTATTTACGTGAGTTAACAGCAATAAAAAATTATCAGTAATTTGCGTTTGCATGTATTTCTTCTGTTGCGACTCTGTGAGCATCGTTTGTTGCTTGTTGCCCATGGATTCAGTGCAGTGTCTGACATCTCATCTGCTCAGAAATGCTGCTGTTTTATTGTTTTGCATCTCTAACAAATTAGTTTTGATTCGGTTTTGTAACGCATTGTCGGAGGAGCGTTGAAAGCTAGGAATTTTGCTGTTCAAATTAACCATTGTGGGTACCTAGACGTTCAAGTTATCGGCAGTTTTCCTCCATAATAGACAGAGCAGTGCTGGGACCATAGCTTCGATTCGAGTTAGCCAAGTCCAAATTAACAAGCTTTTGCTGTATATATTTTTTTACTGTGCTTTGTGTCGACATACGGTGAAAGTTTGATGTAAATTACAGACTTATCAAGTAGTTACATGTTAATTACGAATTGATTTCCCAGCTGTCAGCATTGACAAACATATGAAAGAAGGTACTGACTAAATGAGCGGTCTTACAGCTATTGGATTACCTCTGGAAATGTATAATGCATAACATAAGTGTTCGCTTACATAGCTCTTGAAAAAAGTATTTCACTCAGATTGTAGTGTAGCTATGTGCAATACTAATGTGGAATATGGAACAACTGGCTCTAATATAATTGCTTTTGTACTTGACTTTGTACTTGACTTTGTACTTGACTTGCCTCCCTGTTAATCTTTCAGGTAACAAAACTCCGGTTAAACGAAACACATTTTCCTGGTCCCCTAAGATTTTGTTTTACATGAGTCTGCTGTACTTATCATATTGTAGTTTGTCAAGTTTATCACTTTTTATTGCATAATAACAAGTAAGAGTAACTTGTTTTCATTAAATAGATTAGCCATTGCTGCTGCTCTGTCTTGAGAAATTTTTGCAGGTACCGCAACATTATATATTGCAATACTTTTATGAGATCACTTAAGTAGAGAGCCTCTTAACAGGAGACTCGGCTTTCCACTTTAGTGTTGGTAATCAAAACAGCTCACTGTAAAAGAAACTGTTTGTTACTAAAGAAGCTTTACACTCAAAGAATATTATGGAGACCCAGTGTAGCTTGTGCTACAGCTTTTGCAAATGCAACATGAATAAAAGTAGTGTGTTTCTGTTGCCCGCTGTGGTAGATTAAGGGCTAAATAGTTGAGCTTATAAACTCAAGAGTGTGGGTTCGACTCGCACGTGCAGCAGCCTCATTTCTAGGGTGTTGCGATGGCATTTAATTCTGATGCTAAGAACCCATTCTCGTCTGTTTTCTCCATGTTTGTGTATTCAGTTTTTTTTGCCAAATATAGTTGTAAGGGATACTTAGTGTAAAGTGCAAGATAAAGGACCCTATCTAGTCAAAATTATTCCACAGTCCCACACTCCACCATGCCTTATAATCAAGCCATGGTTTCTGCGAGTAAAATCCTGGAATGTAATATTTGAGAGAATGCTACAACTAAACACTCTCTTCGTGGTGGTAGAAAATGGAAGTACCAATGCTGTGGATGTTTTGCACTGTGTTCCTGATTGTCAATGCATGTGCTTGCAGGCTAGTCAGCTTCTGAACCAGTGGAACATTGAGGATGTCCTCTGGTTTATGGGGTGTGAATCACGGCGGAGCCCACCTTCCAAGTTGGTTTGCATTTTTGTACTCTGTGTAGCGATTTTCCTGTCATTTTGCTACACTGTCATGCTGAGAAAGTTCGGATATTTTTACATTTGATAACAGTGTTTCTAAGCTGAGCACTTCTTTTTATCTCAGTCAACTTAGCCAGTTTGTGGAAAATTTCTTATGGCTAATTTTTACTTGACACTTATCGACGTAGGTGATTACTAGGTGTTGTATTAGGTATCATCATTATCGTGGTCTCTTTTTGAAGGATTGGTTGCTAGCACTGCTGCCGCCTGGCACCTGAAATTGAGGGCCTCAGCCCAAGCCCAACATTTCCTGTGCACTCACCATTGACATTTTGTATGTCTGAATTATGAACAAAGTACAATCTTGTAGGGATCTTCCAGTCTATATACTTTAGCTTACCATTGTACAAAGCTAGTTTCATAACAACCTATAATGCGAAATACTAGCTCCTGTGCTTGCATATGCCCAACAAAAGTTGAATGCTAAAGAACTGTGGTATTGATACCTTCTACAGTAGACTGATGTTGCATTCCTAAAAGCGCATACCGTATTGAACATGCATATAATAAATTACCATGTTGCAATCTCATTTGTTCTTTTAGCATACCGGGGGGGGGGGAAAGTTATGCTCCTTTCAGTATGTTCCAGCACCAAATCTTGTCAGAGATTTGGTGCTGGAACTTCTCAAAGTGCAATTACTTGTTCAGTCTCTTATTTATGTAACTTTAATTTTTGTAGGTGGAATTTTACATTTGTGATGCGTCAGGGAGACATAAAGAGGCAAGTAATAAATTTATCTGATTTTACTTGATACTTTGTCCCTCTTATTTTTCTCTGTACTAGCACAGTCATGCTACAGTGCCATTGTGTTCAATTTTATTAAGCTTTGGTCATCTTATTGAAGGGCTAAGGGTCCTGCATGAAATTTCGGAACCTGTAGTTTTTTGCAGTGTTCTAGGGAATATTTCCGAGGTTGAAAGAAAAGTTTGCGCCATTAGACTAAGATTTTCCCGGGGCATTTTCTTCTGTGGTTCAGTGCCATTTTCAGACTTTCGAAGTGCTCCTGTCTTCTCAAAATTCAAGTGTACACTCTATGGAAACATAGGTACAGAGTCCACTCCTGTACTTTGTACCGCTACCTTCAACCTCTCTTAAGTGCTCTAAAGCTTATACAAAAAAAAAATAATTATAAAACGCATGTTTCATAAAAAGAAACAAAACACCACTGTTGCTCATTGTATCTGTCGGCAAAGCTTTTGATCTGCAAAACTCATCTCTAGTAGACTTATCAAGGCATATCAACCTGATTAACGATTCACTTAAGCATAAATTCTTATCTTGAACCTTGTGGATTGTACGGTAGCTGTGCTACAAGGTTAAAGCAGATGCTGCACTTCTCTACAGCAATTTTTCTGCGGTCTTTCTCAAGTGGATGCTAAAATAAACCAAAAAAATTATTGCATCTGTATGAGCAAGTCATGCTTCTACTACAGTCGAATCCTGCTTCAACGAAATTTTTGCTGCAATGAAAGACTCTCAGTTCCTCGTCCGCAGTCCACAGGAGTCAATGCATAAATATTCTCACCACAACAAACACTTTTTCTTCTGTCAATTTTCAACTAAATTTGATTATGCAATTCCAGGTCGTGCAGTAACCACAATGTTGAAAATTTTGATGCACTTTCCTCCTTCGCGATCTACGAAGTCTAAAGTGTGCCTTGGCACCACCAGATATCGCCGCTGTTTACTAAGCATGGGGGCCGCCGTTGTTCGATAACGATGGCAACGGGACTGCCTAGCTTTTGCTGTTGGCTTGCTTTTGAGCCACAGACAATCTAAAGCTGAAGCTCAGTCGCTCAGTTCATAGTTTTCTACACACTGGTGCTGGGTGCAATCACAGCACGATGCCTTTTCCGACGCCAATGCTTTTGGTTCTTTTCGTGCTAGGCCAATGTGGTCACTGGTCAGAAGAGCTGTTCGTCCAAATTATCCCCAAAATCGGCCATCCGCGACTAGTGGATGATAAGTATAGCATAGAATTATGCATAAGTCACCGCTCCCCTCCTCTCGGCGTTGTAGGATACACTTTGATGGCGTACAGCTGCTAGTGTTACCGTGTTAGAGCAACTGCTAGCTCTGTTCATGAAAGCTGTTGTGGCCATTGTTTCAGCGTGCTTTTCAACGTGGCGTCACAGTGAGTGTGTGAGAATAGAGTCATGGCACTGGTGGAAAAGAAGAGGAAGCAGCTGACACTTTCTTAATTTAGAAAATGAAAGTTCCTTTGTTATGCTAACTTAGGTCACATATGTTTTTCTCGATTTAGCAACAACAAAATTTTTCCCATGCCCCGTAAATTTTGTTGTAGCGAGGTTGGACTGTATCTGCCTAACACAACACACTTGCCACGAAAAAAAACTTAGTCAGCCAGAAATCATCAAAAGGATTACTTCAACTAGCAACACTTAACCTTGGCATACATTACGGCAGTGTCCATTATGGCCAATTCAATTCTTTATCTGTTCATATCACTTCCATAGCATTCTGAATGATCCAAATGTGTCATGACACATCTAAGTCTTCAAAACTGTGCTGGTTTCTGTGTCCCTATCATCTCTGTTTTTGTGTGTGTGCACTAAAGCTTCAGTATGTGTCATGACAGTCTCATCGAGCTAATGTAGCATAAATAAAAAAGTATCTTGAAGTCTGTCATGTCACGCTGACACACTGGCAATGAGATTTCAGCATGAAATTCAGAAAATGGAACTTGAATGGGAACAGTATTTTCAGTGAATGATTTATCAATTTTGAAGCGATTTAATGTTCAGCATACTTTTGCAAATGCAGAATTTAAGAAAGTTGCTGAACCAGCTCCTCATACTACAATATGCCCATTCCGGACGTACTTGTGTCTGTTGGGATTTAAGAACCGTTTGCAGAAACAGATGTGCCCATTCTTTCTCTCGATTTTCTTGTAGGACCAGGGACCGTCCATTTTTTGGCAACTGTGTGAGCCTAGCCACTCAAGAAGAATTTGAAAAGTGGCTCGCAGCAATGCTAAACGCCGAGTTCCCAAAAGGTATTTTCCCCCCTGCTCCGGAGCCTATTCCTGACCTGCTTTCCTGATCGGCTCTGAGGGAGAAGCGAGTTCACTTCAATCTTTTTCTCGGCATCTGGCTCCTTTTCTAAGTCCTAGCCCATGCATGTGTGTTGAATCTCTTTGCTTTTATCGGTTGTTACTGGTTCTGCTGCTGTGGGCAGCAAAAGTTTGCGGGATGATAGAATACCAGTCAAACCACATTGTTGAGAGTCTTGTAACTGGAGGCTGAATTACATGTTTTGGCTGCCATCACTTTCATGCAGTTGCATTTGCAGCTTCCCTACAAGGTGCTCTGCTGAGGCTTTGAAGACTGCAGAGCCACATTTTGAGCAAAAGGCCATTTTTAAATTTATTCCTCTTTATACAATAATGGACTTGCCACTGCAATGTGACCAAGTTATATATCCATCGTGGCTCGCGTGTTCATGCATCCACCTTAGTATCATGCACCTTGCATCTGTTCCAGACGCTAGAAAATGTTTCTTAAAAGCAGTGAGCAAAAATATCGCCAAGGAAGAGATGGGAATGTTTAACTGCTAAGTAAGATTCACCGTGAAAAGTTTTGTGTGCAGTATGGTGAGCTGGTAACTGGGCAGCCCGTAAACTTCTGCAGTGCCTTGTGCACATCTTTTTCTCCAGATGCCACTGTTGCTGTTGTGGTGTGCTGGTTGTTAATTGTGTGTTTTTTTTATCCTATACTGCTGACATAGTAGTAATATGCGCACACTTGCAATGTCTGTAGTATGTAAGTGTGGTTGTTGTTTTGTATAGTTGCATCTCATCCACAGTTATATGTAGCTTCGTTAAGCATGTGAAGCTGTACTCGAGAAACTATTTTAAGTGTGGTTATGTTTTATACAACGAATTCATCTTACTCTCCTTTTCTTTTTTTTTGACATTTCTCAAGGCGAAGGCACGTTGATGATGCTGAGAGTTTCACAGGGTACTGCTTTGAGCTAAGGGTGGGGCAGAGAAGACATAAGAAAGGGTTGGCTGTCACTACTGTGTGAAAAGCCACTCATGGTTAGTGAAGCTTACGTTGTGGATTTCAATCAATCGTCAGTCTAGGCCTGCCATGTACGTCTTTTCTAGCTAACTCAAACCTCATTATAACAAAGTTGCATCCTACACAAAAATGAGTTTGTTATATTTGCTAATTCATTATAAAGTTATATTCCTAACACTACATCTATTGCAAGACTATTCTTTATGCACCTCATTGTGACTGATATTTCGTTATATCTGGATTCATTATATCAAGGTTTGAGTGCATATCTGACTTGCCGAAATGACAACTGTTTTTTGTTCCAGTAGTTTGAACTGTTCTCTATGATGTGTTCCGACTGGACCATATGGTGCTGCACGGTGCTTTAATCGTATTGCATTGATCAGCAATGTACCGTATAATGTGGAATATAGGTCGTCCCCCTTTACCTTCATCAGCAAAAAAAAAAAAAAAAACTGCCGAAATGTTCACTGATTCGCTTTATTCAGTCCTCTGAAACTGTCGGAGCTCTCCTCCGAGGACGACTGCTTTTCACTAACCGCTTCCCACAACATGTTGCCCTAGGTGCCGTCGAGAGCATTGCTGATGCAGCTGTTTGATGCACCACTATTTCTTCAGGCAGAGACCTCCATGCCTCGGTGACCCTACCACATACTGTTGCGAGAGGTGGCCTGCGCAGCCAGCCTGTCGGGGTCCGCGGGTTGTTTCCAGCCATTTATTCAGTGTACCGCACACGCACATGGTCCTTAAAAGGCTTGTTAAGGACGACGTCAAGCAGTTGCAGTGTTGACATCATCCCTCCGGGAATGACGGCAAGATCAGTCTTCCCATCACGAAGTCTCTCTTTCACGGATGCCGTCAAATGCTCCCGAAATGCATCTAACACGAGCATGTTCCGGTGCTGCAGGAGTGCTCCGGACCGCCGATTCCACACTGTGCAGATCCACTTGCGCATTAAGGCCTCGTGTATGTGCCCCTTTTCGTGCACGCGGACGACATCCCGCAAGAAAGTCTCCTTCGGCGGCGTCTTCCGCTTAAAGATGATGAACGGGGGCAACTTTGTACCGTCAGCCATGCAGGAAAGCATAACAATGAAGCGCAAATGCTCGCTTTTGGTCGACAAACGCTTCACTTCTTTTGCTCCGCGTTCGCAGTCTGTTGTGGACAACAAAAGGGCGAACCACACTGGCATTTCATAGGCGTTGCCGATCTGGCCAACCATGTAGCCATGCTGCCGCCGGAGGCTTTTCACGTAGAGTTGAAACTCTATCAACTTGTCCTCGTACATCTCAGGCAGCTTCTGACAGATTGACGTGCACTGTCGAAAGGCAAATCCTTTGCATCGCATGAAGCGGCGGACCCAATAAATGGACCCCTTGAAATCTTCACTCGACAGACGGGCTTGACGGGCGAGTTGACGGCTTTTGTGCGAATGAGCTCTGCATTCACTGGCAGGGACTTAGCACGATACACGCGGACGAAATCCGCCACTTTGTATTCGAGTTCTGGGTGCATAACTCAGTGACCGCGAAATGACGTCTTAGGCGCGTTACATACCGACAGTTTGGATTTTTGCTTGGGCCAGTACCTGACTCTTTTCTCGGACCCTCCAAACTTCCGCTGTGCCGCCATGTCGTCATTCGCTTCTGAATTCAATAACTTTTCTCTTAAACGTGGCGGTGAACTGGGGCCGGGTTTCGGTACTCATAGCTGGCTGCAGAGCGAGGTCGCCACTCGCTAGGAACACTGAATGAACAAGAAAAGAAAAACGGGGCCGGAAAAAAACGCATCAAGTGTCGGCCCATGGAGGAAATGTCGATGCTGATGCCTAAGAAGCATGCAACGTTCCCTGTTGCCAAGACGATCACTTGGTTTGTGCCAAGGGCGGGTACATAGGTCGAGGGGGGACTTTTTAGTGACGCAGCAAAATGGCGTAGGAAAAAACGCATCTGCGAGCATTTCTTATTAGCGCGAAATGAACTTATTCGTGCAAGATGTCGGTCGCGTGCGTCCTGATCTTCAATTTGGTCCTGGTGTATGGCTGGTTTTCGACGAGGTCGGTCCTCAGTTGATAGCATTATTGACTTAGTGACCTGTGTTCAGCGTCAGAAAGCTCAAAAGCGGCTGTCGGTAGCTCTGTTCTTAGACGTGAAGGGTGCCTATGACAACGTGACCCACGAGGCTGTTCTCAATGCTCTTGAAGCAGCTGAACTTGGAGGTCGTGTCTTTTGATGGGTAAGAAGCTACCTCACAAAGAGATCCATGTTCGTTTTAACTGAAGATGGGTCTACGAATAAGTATTTCACAAGTCGTGGGTTGCCACAAGGCGGTGTTTTGAGTCCAACACTTTTCAACCTGGTTCTTGTGGGGCTCACCGAAATGCTGCCACAGACGGCTTATATCTCTCTCTACGCTGGCGATATCTGCATTTGGGCGTCCGGCGTGACACGGCCTCAAGTGCGCGCAAGAATACAGAAAGCGGCAACAATGACATCGACATACCTTCGCCAGCAAGGTTTGACTATCGGCACAGAAAAATGCGCAGCGATGGCGTTTACACGCAAACCGATGTCTTTCTACTCATTGTGCATCGATGGCAGATCAATCCCGTATAAGAGCACTCATAGATTCTTAGGCGTCATCGTAGATCGTGACCTAACCTGGAGCCCGCATATCTCATAGCTGAAGAAAAAGCTCATTGGCATTGAGAATCTATTCAAGTTCGTCGCCGAAAAATCATGGGGCCCATTTGTGCACTCCATGTTGCAGCTTTACACAGCCCTCTTTCTCGGAACTCTCCGGTACAGCCTTCCTGTCCTGTCCAACACATGCAAGACTAACATCTGTGCACTGCAAAGCGTACAAGCCCAAGCACTTCGGACATGCCTTGGCCTTCCAAGATGCTCATCGACAGTGTCCACTATTGTTATTGCACAAGAACAACAGGTCACAACGCACATCATCGTCGAGATGCTGAGAGCGCATATTCGGCATTTATCACGGCTACCGTCACATCATTTAGCGTGTTTGACAGCTCGGAGGTCCCATTCTTCGTACTGCAGTATCGTGACAAAACATCAAAACGTACTACCGCCTGGCTTCAAACTTGCGATGCATCCAGCAACGGCGCCATGGAGTCTTCGTCAACCTGACGTGCGCTTATCAGTTCCTGGAATCTTTAAGAAGGCATGCATGTCAATGCTAGCCTTGAAGCAATTGACTTTGCGTCTGTTGGACGAAAGGTACTTTGACCGCATACATGTTTACACCGATGGCTCCACTAATTCACACAGCTCCACAGGAGCAGTGGTTGTTACATCTGAAAATGTGTTGCTTCAGTACAAGTTTTCTCACACCACGACGTCGACAGCAGCAGAGCTTGCAGCACTTCAAGGTGCAGTAAAGTACATTCTTCGCCAGCAACCAAATCAATGGGCCATCTTTTGCGACTCCAGGTCAGCCTTACAGTCACTATGGTTTGTTATGCAGCACGGGTTACATGAACAATCAGTATATCAGATAAGGCACGACTACCACGAAGCGCTCACAGAAGGTCACGATATTGTATTTCAGTGGTTGCCGAGTCATTGTGGAATCGTTGGCAATGACCGCGCGGATGAAGCTGCTCGATCGGCTCATGACCAAGACCAGCACACGCCCATACCACTCTTGAGAACGGGTCCTGCAAGGCTGCTACAATCACTTGCTCGCCGTATATCTCTCCTACAATGGAATACGCAGGGTTTCTCCAACACGCACCTGTATTCGATCGATCCAAACTTGCAACTTCGTTTGCCATCCGGGCTTCCACGATGCGCTGAAACTTTACTGTGTCGCATGAGGTTGGGCGTGGCATTTACGAATTCGTACTCTCGTCTCCTTGGAATGGCGAGCACTTCAGCATGCAACATCTGCGCCTGCGAGGAAACGCTTGAGCACATTCTATGTCATTGCCCAGCATACCAGACCGAAAGACGTATTATGGAAGCCAAGCTCTGTCAGCTGGATTCACGGCCGCTTACAGAAGAAAAGATCCTGGGACCTTGGCCGACGGCTTCCGATACGCGCAAAGCCACGAAAGCCCTCTTGTACCTTTTTAAGGACCACCAAACTTCACCACCGCTTGTGAAAGAACTGTGCGAGGCCGTGCTGTGTAGTCTCGAGCTGACTATTTATGCTTCTCTTTCTTACTCCTCTTCTTTTCTGTCTCTCCGTTCTATTATTCTCCTTTTCCCCCACCCCAAGTGTAGGGTAGCCAACCGAGCCAAGCTTGGTTAACCTCCCTGCCTTTCCTCTCTATTTATCTCTCTCTCTCTCTTTTAGTGAAATTTTTTTTTAATCTCGACCTATATTCCACGCTATACAGTAATCCACATCTGGAGGCCTGATGAGGATCAATATTGATTGTGGCAATATTGTTGTGCATGGCCTCAAATTAAGCACAGCCTTTGTCTTCAGTTCTGTGAGCTGAAGCTTCAGTGTTTTTAGATCTCCATTTACTTCTATATTGCATAGACACTCATGTTGCTCGATCTGTTGCACATTTAGAGCAATAATGTGCTTTGTACCAAAGTAGTATACACGTTCTGACCATAGGCTGTTTAGTGTGGCTTATTGAACTGTCTTTATCTTCCGCATTGTGCAGTTTTTAGCGTTGAAACTATTTCAGTTTCAGTAGTCTTTGGTGCTGCCATCTGAACGTTACTTCCAGCACCAGCATGGTTTCAAACATTGGGATCAGAAAAAGGAATCTAGCATTACTGGTGCATGTCCAGTAGAACTTTATACATTTCTTAGCGACATATTTGAGCTGCGAAATAGCACAATGACAGACAAAAAACACACAATGACAGGACTTTGTCGAGAGGGCTTTTTTTGCTGTGTTTGTATTATTTTGCCACTCAAATATGCCATTAAGCAAATGCCAACTAGGCCAACAAGCAGTTTTGTTAAAATTTTGTACAATCTGAGAGAAATGTATTACCTTGTATCTGTGGTACAATCATATTTGTGCAAATGCTGCAAGACAGTATCCTTTTGATACCTGACGTTCCATTCGAGAACTGTTTTTCAAGTCTGTTCCCATAGCCAAATGCTATTTTGCAATCGTGAAACTCCCATTTTTTGTTGCTTATCACGGTTACGTGGTAGAGGCAGGACCTTTACATATGTGAAAGAAA